CACACACACACATCCCACAACCTTTGGACCTCTTCCGATACCAGACCACAGACTCCTGAGCAATGTTGATTGTCGTTGCTAAGTGCCATTGAGCCGGTGCTGACTCACAGTGACCCGATGTACTGTAGAACAAAGCACTGCCTGGTCCTGCCCCATCCTCACACCTGCTGTGCTTGAGCCCATTGTCGCAGCCACTGTGTCAATCCACCATGTCCAGAGTCTTCCTCTTTTCGCCTCCAGCCCCATTTTACCAAACATGATGTCCTTCACCAGGGATTGGTCTCCCCTGACAACATGTCCACAATACATGCATTAACTTGATATTTAGTGTCAATTTTAGTCACAGACTCATATGGGATAAGATTGTCATCAATTTCTTACACAAAATATCTCTTAGATGATATGAATACTAAGAGAAACATTATGTTGTGGAATCATCCGACCTTGAATTACAATGCGACTTACATTATTGATCACTCAGCAGAGGGATTTTACATTTTTCCCCTCCTTTTTAATTCCAACTTAATTCTGAAAAAAAAAGAGTTACTGGTATGAGGTAGCCAATACCACTCAACGCCTGACTGTAGCTTACGCACCCAGAAAGTATGACGCCATCGGCCACCATGAAAAAATCCAGCAGCAGCAAAAACAAGCCTGTGTACTGGCAGCGCACACAGATGGACTCATGTGATTCAGAGCGTCCTTGTCATTGGGCAATGATGACCGCCCTGACCGGTGTGAGTGAGTGAGCGAGCCAAGTGAGCGACGAGGGTCAAGACATAGATGAACACAGCATTGTAGTCTGGCAGGTGTACAGACGCATGTACACTGGGCTTGCGAAAAGTGTGTGTGTGGCTATAACTAACTACCAGGACATTTTAAATTTTAAAATAGTGGATTTCGGCTGAAATACTGCACACACACAAAATTATCGATGTGGGTGCCACCCCTCTGCCACTGTCACCCTTGCCCCACCTGCCAGCGACTCCACTGCACCTTTCCCTCTGACTTTCCAGGACTAGACAGCTGCCCGCTCTCTTGTCCTTGGGACTTCGGCTGGGGGACGCCTGCAGCAGCCCCGCCATGCTCCAGCCTGTAACTGTGCATTCGTGGGTTTGCTGCATGCCTGTATCCCCAAGGAACCTCGGCCGGCCGGAACGATGTCTGGCTCAGTCATTGTTATACCTTCAGGGCCCGGCTCAGAGCCTGGCCCATAGTAGATGCCCAATAAATGCATATTGTGTGAATAGCACACACATACACATATGCCCTGGCGGCTGCATCATGCACCCACTCCTATGCAGATTTTTATCAATGCACATGCCAACTGGATGTGTGTGTGTGTGTGTGTGTGTGTGTGTGTGCAGGTGATGTGACTGAGGGAGGTGCTCACATGGTACCTGGGGAAGCCAACCCTTGTCTGTATCCACAGAGGCAACTGACCCAGGCAGGCATTCAGAATATAGATTCCTATGTCTTCTAAAAATCCCGATTTCGATGGGGCATCGCCTGGTTCAAAAGACACCATGTGAGCCAAACAGTGCATGTCCCTAGGCTGGGCAATGGCAGGGCCGGTGGTCTCTCCGGTTCCAGAAGAGGAAGTGCTGGCAGCTTGGAGGGCCTTGATGGGGATGGGGATTCACCATCAATGACTATAAGGATACAGTGGGATAAGCAATTAGGTCCCAAGAGCCTGAGGCTGGAATCAGCTCTGCCACCTCCTTGGGCCTCCCTTCCCGCCAATGGCTGTGGCCACAGCCATGTATCAAGACACATAGGCCGTGGACCCGGAGAGTGAAGGACGGTGGTTAGTGGGAACGTGGGAGCTGATGGCCATCCTCCTCCCAGGAGGCAGGGCGTGGGCAGGGGAGGGGAAGGGAGCCCAGTGTTTCACAGGGGCAGTGGATATGCAGGAGAGCAGGCCGCTGCCATCAGAGTGATGATGATAATGATGGTGATCATAGTAATAGGAGCAGCTGACATTTATGGAGCATCGACCATATGTCAAGAACCACGATGGGTACTTTACAGGAATTAGCTCCGCTGGGGACCTGGAGGAGCAGCCCTGGTGATGTAGTGGTTATGAGTGGGGCTGCTAACGAGGAGGTTAGCAGTTCGAAACCACCAGTCACTTCGAGGGGGAAAGATGAGGCTTTCTACTCCCATAAAGGGCTGCAGTCTCAGAAACTCATGGGGGCAGTTCAGCCCTATCCTATAGGTCGTTATGAGTCAAAATTGCCTCCGTGGCAGTGAGTGGGGGCCTGGAAAAGGACCACTGCCTGGCCTGACAACAACCCTCTGATTGCTGCACCTGCCAAGAAGCCCACCATTAAGGTCCTCTGACTCAGGGATCGACCATTTCAAGTTCTGGAAGTTTTTGTTTTGATCTAGCAGCTGAAGTTGTTGGTGCTAGAATTTAGGTTCACTTCCCCTTAACCCTAATGGTGTCGTGGTTATGCATTGGGCGGCAGTTCAAAACCACCCACAGCTCTGAGGGAGAAAGTCGGAGCTTTCTACTCCCACAAGCAGTTACTGTCTCAGAAACCCACAGGGGGGTTGCTATGAGTCCGCATTGGTTTTCGTGCCCTTTAACCAGTTTTGCAAGTAGAGAAAGTCCCCAGCAGCCTAATGTTAAGACTCTTCTGCCTGGGGCTCCACCGACTTCACTGCTTAAGTCCCTCTTCTGGCCGAACAGAAAGAAGTTCTTTGTGTTGTAGGTTCCGTTCCTGTGGCCTACGTCAGTAGGAAATAGCCCGAGGCAGCCCTGCTCCCACTGAACCCACTAAACCTTTGTGTGCCTCCTCCGTCCTCCAGCCAAGCCCCCAAAGCCAGTTACAGCACAAGTGGCTGGGAGCAGCCAAGGCCCCTGCGGGTGCATCTCAATGAGCAGGGGAGGTGCTATTGAAATGAGCACTGGAGGTCCCTGGGGTGTGTTTGGAGGAACAGCTGCAGACTGGTGTGGCTGAGGGGCAGCTGGACAGCCCCCCCCCACCCCCCGCCAAGGTATAGGCCCATCCCATCTTGCAGCCATTGGAACTGGGGAGCCCCTGCAGCACTTTAAAGGGGGTGCATTTTTAAAGATCTGTCTGGCAAATGGGAGAAGAAACTGGGAGGGGCCTGAGGGATTGGGGGAGACCCCTAAGGAGACAGGGTAATAATGCAGATGAGAAATGGGAGCCGCTCTCCATCAGTGCTGGGGGGCTGGACTCTGGGGAGAAGGGGTGGGGCGGCGGGGCAGCCATGTTTGGAAGGGAAATCAGTGGGGTTCAAGAATGGCTGGTGCCTGAGTGAGGAAGAGGCAGGGTGGCCAATGGCTTGACGGCCTCTTGCTGGAGAGGATGACCCTGCAGTGGGTTTTGAACCTGCTGAGGGCGATGGAGGCTTGGGTGTGGTGGGGCTCAGAGTGACCCATCTCCCTGCCGGACCCTCAGGCCCCATCCTGAGGCCGAATGCAGGAAAAGGCTGGCACTCTGGGCTCTGTGGGCCCTCTTATTCTTCCGGCACAGCCAGGTGGCGAGGACCCTTCGGGCCCACCCTGAGTTGGTGGAGGTGCCCACCATAGCAGGAAGGCCTGGGCCCCGGGCCGAGCAGGGAGGGCCGAGCCTGGTCTGGCGTGGACCGGTCTTGTCTCTTTCAGCATAATTAGGTGCTTAATTGCACTGCTCAGCCCTGTCGATGGCCGGGAGGGTGATTATGATTTACAGCGTGCCTCAGGCCCAGGGTCGCTTCTCCTAGGGCCTATGGGTGGGGGCGAGGGACAGGCCTCAGGATGTTCTGCAAGGAGGGTGAATGATGAAATCCAGCAGGCTGCCGATGGAGGGGGTTTAGACCCCCTAAAACATAGTAGTTTGGAGGTCTAGGAAAGGGGATTGGGAGGGGCGAGAAGGTAGTGCTGTAGTTTTCTAGCCCTGTATGAGGCGGGGGGCTCCCCAAAGATGAAGCCTGGTCTCTGACAGCAAGCCTGTCCGCCTGCCCTGCTCTGGGGTGGGGGAGGCTGTACCCAGGATGGCAGCGGCCCAGGCTGGCAAACACCTGCCTGTGACTGCTATCTTGTCACCTGCTTTCTCCAGATGCCCTTCACTGCCGACTTCCTGCTGGACGGCAGCTTGCCGAGTTTCCCAATCCCTGACTTGAGGTCTGGGTTCTCCTGAGGCCATGTGTCCTGTGGACAGTGCTGGGGTCCCCTCTTCACAGCTGCGCCCCAGCACCCAGCTCAGAGTGTGGCACATTCCGTGTCTGTCCAGTAATGGCCGGATCCAGCCCCAAACACCCAAGGCAGGACTCTGCAGGGTCAGAACCCAGTCTCCCAATGCCTACCCCCATCCCCGTGCTCCCTGTACTCCTCCCCTGAGGCATCTGGCTTGCTGGTGGGGGTGGAGACAAGGCTGGGGTAGGGAGCTGGCTGTCCCTGGGGATGCTGCTTCTGCTCCTCCCCCAGCAGGCTGGGGTGAGTGGGTGGAGGGGGGGGGTCTGTGCCTGGTGCTCCCTCCCTGGGAGCCTCTATGCTCCCAGCGCTTCGCATTATTACTCCATTAGCGCCTTGTAGGGTTGACAAATGAAGGATAATTAATATCCGTGAGGGAAACAGATGTTGAGGTAATTCGCTCCCTGCTGCGCATTTGCAATAGCGTCTCCTCGCTCTTCCCCCCGGAGCCCGACAGGACGGTGGGACCTCACTGTGCCCTTGGTCCGAGGTGAGGCGGTCGGCAGGGCACGAGGGCCTCCTGTTGGGCCAGCACCTGGCAGTAGGGAGCACCTACTTCTCACCCCACACCAAGAAGGACACCTGGGAGAGCTTCCTTCTGCTGCTTCTGGGAAGTTCTGCTTATGTCTCGCCTCAGTCTCTGTTGCTGTACTGTAAGCCCGTGCCTGCCTGCTTCATGGGGGATGTTGACCAGCCTAGGATGGCTTCTTCCCATCTAAAGCCTAGGCAGGCATCTTGGGGTCTTCAGGGCCAGTGGGGTCTGCAAGCTCTGGGTGACCCTCTGTGGGCCTGTCACCATCATCTGAAGGGTTAGAGTGTATGGGGCCAGGCCCCCAGCTCTGCCACCCACTGACTCTGTGACCCCGGACAAGTCACTTTTTCTGGAGCATCAGTTTGCCCCCTGTAGAGTGGGCGTACTCATCGTTTGCATGTGCCCTAAAGTTTAGAAAGGTGACATCGGGGTACAAAGAAGGCATTAGAGTGAGTCCTTTGGCGAATATTTTATTAATAGGATTGTTATTTGCTGAGTGCCAGGCCTAGTGCCTACAGAGGGAAGAGCCATTTAGCCAGGGAGAGAAATGAAAAACCAAGTCAGGAGGCAAATACATTGAAGAGTCAAACCGAGACAACTTCTTGGAGGAGAATACAAGGGGCTTGTGACAGGGGACCCTGGGGGACATCGAAGGGGGCGCTTGGGAAAGATGAATCAGCCAGGGGAAGGGAGGTGGGGGCAGCACTGGGCAAAGCCCCCCACTGCAGAGCCATGCAGTCTGAAGGAGCTGGGCCGGGGATGACAAGCAGAGAGGCCCAGGAGGCCGGACACCCCTGGCCAGTGGTTAGAGTCCCATGTGCATGTGCCCAGGATGATGTCTGCAGAGCGAGTTTAACCCCAGGGGACATCCCGCCTTCTCCTCCTGACCCCTCAGCAGCCAAGGCTGCTTCCCTGCTCCAGAGCCTGCCAGGTCAGGTGTCAAGTCCGTTTGGGAAGGTAGCTGGGTACCCATCTCTCATCTCCACTATTTCACCAGTGGTGTGGGGTGCAGGGTTTGGGGGTGGCGATAGACAACCCCAGTCAGGCATGCTCTCCATAGGTCCAACATCTTTTTTTAAAAAACAAAAACAAAAAAACCACCTTTCAATGTGGGGGGATTACAGACCAGACTCACAGGAAGAAAATGGAATGGAAAGATCACAGGATTTTCCCATGAACTTCCGTAGCCCCCTCTCACCCTTTGCCCAGCTTCCCTCAATGAGCTCTATAGCTGTCCAGCAAGGATTTGGGGTTTTTTTGTGTGTGTTTTTTTTTGTTTAACCACAGCCTCTTTTTCAACTGATAAAAGAAAAAACCCAGCTTTTTGTGCATAGCATATTTATTTCTAAGAGCCTAACAGCGTGTATCTGGAAACTGCTCACATGTCCGTCTCCAGGTGGTTGAGATAGACGAGGTATGGCATCTTCAACCGATGGGGCATCATACAGCAATAGGAACCCACCAAGCCACTGGGTACCAACGCAGGGGTGGGGGTGGGGGTCTCATTGGCATTCTGCTGAGTGAGAGCAGTCAGGCACAAAGAACTCAAGCCGAGGCAGCACCAATCGGAGCGGCTGTCGCTATTAGGTGTCAACCACTGGATTCTAACTCAGTGACCCGCTACAACAGGGTCGGGCTGCCCCATGGGCTGTCACCTTCGCAGGAGATGCCGTAAAGAGGCTGCTGGGTTCGAATTGCAGGCCTTTCGGTTAGCAGTAGAATGCTTCACCTTTATGCCAGGAGAGCTCCTAACCTGTGGCACCAAAATCAAAGACCCCCCTCCCCACAAACAAACAAACAAACAAACAAACAAAACCCTGCTGTAGCGTCAATTCTGCTTTACAGCAACTCTCTTAGAGGAAGCAGAGCCGTCCTGGGTTTCCAAGGCCAGAGGCCGCCACGTCTTTCTCCCGTGGAGCAGCTGGAGGCCTGGCAGCTGAGCATTCCCCACCGTTCCTTGTCTGTGCTGCTAGAAGGGGTCACTACTAGCGTGATGACCCAGGCGGCAGTGGTCCAAAGGCGACCCTCCCGAGCATGGCGAAGGCTCAGGCCTGGCTGGGGCTGTGGACCCTATGGTGTGCACATTCTCATCAGACAAAACAACCAAGCAGTCCTCATTGAGCACAAAGACGTAAAACAACTAACACATCGGTAAGGGTGGCTCCATCTACAAACGCAGCCGATGCCCCTGCCCCCTCCAGCCGGCTGGAACAGAAGGCAGCATCCTGAGATACAGCGAGACCTGGGGGAGCCGGCGGCTCTGCCGCAGACAGGCCGGAAACCTTCCCTGTCGTTGGTTTCGAGGGAAATCACCGCTGAGGTTGCCTTCTCTGGCGGGTTTCTGCTTCAGGCGGCGTCGGGTGCACGGGCTTTCTGAACCGCCTGTAGTTTTGGAATGGACGTTTCAGCCCAAGCGGAGAGCTTTCTTTGTGGCCTAGCCGGGTTCCACCCCCCAGGGATAACGATGAGGTCACTGCTCCCCTCACGCCTATTGTTAAACGTCCACACACACGAGCCCGGATGACATAGTGGTTTCGAGTTAGGATGCTAATCTCAAGGTCAGCCGTTTGAAACCACCAGCCACTCAGTGGAGAACAATGAGGGTTTCTACTCCCAGAGAGACTTAGAGTCTCACAAAAGAAAAGGAAGAAGGAAAAGAGTTACAATCTTGGAAACCCACGGGGGTGGGGAATGGAGGGATCCTTATGAATTGGAACCATCTCAGTGGAAGCTCCCAGTCCGATGGATGTAAGTTCGTGTGCTTATAGAAACGGCATCACACGGCGGAATGGTTTTGCCATGAAATTTTTTTTTTCTGTTTCCAGTGGGTTCTTCCGGCCCAGCCTGCCTGGTGTGGGCGCCCTGAGTCGTTTTGTCTCATCGTCCCCCACGTGAAGGGTAGAAATGCCCCCAAAGAGGTTTCCAGGCTGCCATCTTTCTCCGAGCGGTTGGGTGGATTAGCACTGCCAGCCTTTTGATAAGCAACCTGGCACCTGACAGTCTAGTGAGTGTCGATCTAGTGCATCCTTTTTCGCTGCCGCGTCGTACTCCGGTGGAAGAACAGACCATCCTCTTGGTGGACGTCAGCGTCGCTTCCACCTTTCGGCTCTTTCACTCACTCTGGGGCAGAACTGTCACATGCCCTTGGGGGAAGGGGCACCAGGGGAACCCCAGCCCAAGGGCTCCCCTCTTTTTCCTGTTGCTACCTGGCGAACAGGTCACAGTCTCTCTGTCCCCCCCAGGTGGTGAAGGTGGTGGGCAGCAACATCTCCCACAAGCTGCGCCTGTCCCGGGTGAAGCCCACGGACGAGGGCACCTACGAGTGCCGGGTCATCGACTTCAGCGACGGCAAGGCCCGGCACCACAAGGTCAAGGCCTACCTGCGGGTGCAGCCAGGCGAGAACTCCGTCCTGCACCTGCCCGAAGCCCCGCCTGCCGCGCCTGCCCCACCGCCCCCCAAGCCGGGCAAGGAGCTGCGGAAGCGCTCAGTGGGCGAGGAGGCCTGCAGCCTCTAGACTGATGCCCCGCCCCCTTTGCCCCCCCCCTCGCTGTACAGAGTGCATGAGGAGCCGGCACCGCCCGCCAGGATGGGACTGCCTGGCCTGCCGCCTCCCCATCCCAGAGGCTACCGGTGGCCACCACGTCGGCCCTCTGCCCACTGTCCCCTGGCTCAGCATGTAAGCCTCCCAACCCTTCCTTTCCAGACCCCTGCGGTGACCTGGCTCAGAGAAAATGGCCCTGGGCACCAAGGGGGTGACCTCCTGGAGAGCCGGGGCAGGGACCACCCCGGCCCTGGCCGCCCATTCTGTCCCTTGCCAGCTTCAGTGCAGTTCAGTGTTTCTGTTTGCTTGCTTGTCTCCCAGCCTGTCCTGAGCCGGGGCCACCCAGCCTTCCTCACCCTCCACCCTGCCACCCACTACCTGGACCTGGGGGTGTGGACAGGCGCCCTACCACCTCAGCCAGAGGGCCATTAGCAGGACCACTCACGGGCGCTGGGAGGCGCTGGGGAGCCCACTGCCTCCTGGGGCCCCTTCCTGTCCAGCATCCTGGTACTAAAGAAACAGCTGCTGGCTAGGAGACAGGAGACAGGAACCTTTGCCGTCTGTCACACAGCAGGTCAGAAAGGGCAGAGCATTGCACCAGCAGGCCCCCCCTTTGAGGACTCTCAGAGGAGCCCCCCTCTGTCCGTTCCCAATGTCCCAGCCCTCACTTTGCACCCATGCCAAGTCTACCTAAGGGCCTGGGGCTTTGGGGAACCCTATACCACCCTCCTCACAATTTCCAATCAGGGGAACACCTGCCACCTGGTGATCTGTAAATATTTCTTTGGGGCCCAACACCCCTTTAGGACTGGCTCAAACCTCCAGCCGCCCCTCAGCGATGGAGTGTGGGGCATGGGTGGGGCCGAGGATTTGGCCTAGGGGGGTCGGAGCCGCTCTATATACACAATCCAATCTGTGACTACCAGCCAACATGAATAAAGCAGTTTAAAAGGACTCTAGGCAGTGTCTTTCTGGGGCCTGGGAGCTTGGTGTTGCCAAGGAGGAGAGGGCTGGCCAGCCCACTAGCCACATCTGGCTCCAGTTCTCTGTCCTCGCAGCAGGGTCTGGCTATGAGGTGCAGAGGACAAGAGGGGAGGGGAGTGCCCAGGGAGAGAGTGAAAGCACCCAGCCTTTGTCTAGCTCCAATCCAATTACCACCTGCTTGGATTGTTCTGTGATCTTGAGATAATTATGAGTAGAAGCGTGGGTAAAACATGTTTACACAGCTTTGTGAGTAATTATAAAGCTAACATCCGTGTAGCCATCACCTATCAAACATAGCCCAAAACAGACCCCACCCCCCACCCCCCTAGACACACACACACACACACACACACACACACACACAGCCCCAATGTCTTCTTACCTAATATGAGCCTGCTCCTCTCAGAGTCCTGGTGGGGGAGTGGTTGAGCAGTGGGCTGCCAGCCAGAAGATCAGCAGTGCAAACGCACCAGCCGCTCCATTGGAGAAAAAGGGGTTTTCTACTCCTGTCAAGAGTTAGTCTTTGGAAACTCGGGGGTGGGGG